CGTCATTGTCATTATTGTCACTGCCGCTGTCACCATCACACTGTGATTCTGTGATGACTTTTACTCCTCTCCAATCTCAGTTCCCATCAGAGTGCAGGCTCAGGGTTATTAAGAGCTTTATTGCACAAACACTAGAGATACTATTGATTGTTCATTAATCATCAGGGGAACCAGGGGTTGGGGGAGGGGAGAAGGTCTGCTGCTTCCAGGTACAGCAGAGGGTTTATTCTGTTGAAAAGGTCTCCCATTCACCCAACCCTTTGGGATTTCTCTTTGGAATATTGTGGTTTGTTCAATCTCTGATATAGAAGGGTCCTTAGGGGCTGGTTATATGCCACCATCTCAGTTGAGGTTGGATATCAAGATGAGGCAATTAGAAACTGAGGAAGGGGAAGAAACTTTGTTCGGGCCCAAGACCAGACCCAGGGATCCCAGTTCTCAGCCCAATGTCTGGTCCATGCTTCTAAGTTGCCTTTGCAAGGCATTAACCTCTCCTTTTCATATAGCAAATGAGATGGGGAAGGAGTGACTCTAAGAAGAGATACTGATTATAATAATTCTTTGTACTCAAAGATGAATGGGACCATGTTGAAGAACTTGAGCAATGCGTGGTGTTGGTCAGAGCCAGTATCAGATACCATGTGATTAGGAAGTCACTAGGTAAGGCCCAGGGATGGTCTAAGGGGCTAAGTTCCACCTGGGCACAGCAGACATTTGCTTAGTGAATGCTGCTATGTTTGAGGCAACGGAAGAGTCATGATAATGCAAGGGGTACAGTGTCAACCGACCCTTCTGGTTGCTTAGAAACTAAGCCGCTATAAGGATGTTATGGTACAGACTCACCCAGCCACCGAGGTGAGGAAGTGAGTTCTTAGAAATGTTTTGGCAGATGCCTCTCTCTCTGTACTTTGAGGACTTCCCCAGTGCATGAGGGAAGGGAAGCCCAGATGTAAGAAAAGCCAGCCCCTCGAGGCTATACAAAGTTGGTTGCATTGGGTCAATCACATAATTTTGCAGGTGTGTTCAAGTCACATGGATGCTTTTGGACCATCAGGTTGTTTACCTGAAGACCTGAGGTGCCTCTTAGGGATCTGGTCATCGCTGAGCAGCCTGGACAATGAGACTGCAGTTCTTGTTCTCTGAGATGCAGAGGACGGGGTCAGTGAGCAGCAGATTCTCTGTGGGGGAGCCACTGTGAATTTTGACAGGAAGAGTGGAAGTGTTTAGAGTGAGGGCACTGTGTTAGTATGTCACATGGACCGTGTAGTAGAGAAGGCAATGAAAGCTAAGAGAGAGCTCATAGCAAAGTGGTGTTGGTGGCCACAGTGAAGGGCGGGGAAGGAGAGAGATGAAAATTTGGGATGACAATTAAAATGCCTTTTCTTTGTGTTCATTAAATCCCAACAGACTCTTTATTCAATGAGATTTTCAAAGCCACATGTCTTTGTTTCTAAGACATTTCACTTTGGGGAAAGGTTTTCCTGAATTTGGAAGGCTCCTTGGGCAAAGCACTGTTGTTGCCCATTCTCCCTAGTCCTACCTCTGTGTGGGGATCTGAAGTGCCCTGGTCAGAAGTGAGGCCTTTTTCTTGGTACGGAGGCCATTTCTGCTGAGCACACGCTGACTCCCCCAGGATGAGAGTCTAGCTTCCCTGCCTCCTGTGATGGCTAAGGATAGAAAATTCCATCTTCCCCACAGAGGCTCCTGGAGATGCACCCTAAGAGCTTGTGGGGTGTGCTTTCATGATCTCTCAGGTCTCCTCTGATTGACATGAAGCCAAGGTGGGGGAAGGGAGGTTCCCATCCCAGTGGAGGTGGCATGGAGAACCAGGGAGTCCCCATCACAGTTCTGTTTCCCCCTGTGCCCCACTGACCCCCACCCGACCCCACTTCCACCTGAGATGTGGACGTTGTGGCCGGGTACACAGTGAGGAAGGGCAGGCGAGGCCCACAGAGTGACTGCAGAGCCTTGGTTTCATGCTTGTTGAGTCTCGTCACCTCCTGCCCTTGAAATATCAAGAAGAGCAAAAACCCTCAGATCTTCTTCAGACATTAAGAAAATGGAAAATATCAAAAGTCAGTCAGACTCCTGCCAGTCTACACACCAGAATCAAAGGACGGTCCCGGAGTCTGAGGGAGGCGGCCTCGGAGGCAGGAGCGCCTGATGAGTCATCTTCTAGTTGATGCTTGCATTTTCCAGATGAAGAAATTGCGGCCCAGGGGAGGCAAGGGATTCCACTCCAGCCCTCCAGTCCAGCACAGTTTTCTTCAGGGCACAGAAGAAGCCCCCCCGCCCCCCCACAATACCAATTTGGAGTGAGGAGGAGGCACTAGGAAGGTGTGAACAGTATTCCGCGCCCGGATCCACTGCAGCGCCCAGCTGGGAGGAGAGAAGAAGTTGGCACACAGAGCAGGTCGTCTAGGTGGTGTTCTCTTCATGACCTCATCCGGACAGGGCAGAGGGACAGCCCAGAGTTCAAGTTTCCCTCCTGGGGCTGAGGTCATAAGTGAAGCCAAGGAAACAGGAACGGCAGAGTCCCCGCAGATGGAGGGACATTCTTGTTGCCTAGAACAAAGGAAGCAAGTATTTTCGAAAGCTCACCATGTGCCGGGCCAACCGCTCGGCGCTTTCACGTGTGTTCTCTTATTTAATCTGCACCGTCATGTCCTGGGAATAACCCAGAAACAGTAGGTCTCGTTGCAACGGGCACACAAGCTAAAGCCCAGGAATGGTATGTAATGCTTCCAAATTCGCAAGACTAGAGAAGTCCCAACTCAGGTTGAATCTGACCCTCAAGCCTACATTCTCTGTCTCACCTTCCCAGGCTCTGGTCAAGGGCAAAGAGATTAGAGAAAATGGTGGGCTAGAGCATAAGACACGGGAAGGATGTGTGTGGCGATCAAGTTGGACCAGGAGGTTGGAACCGGGCCCTGGAGACCTCGAATGGGGCGCTGCGGGGTGTTTCTGGGCAGCGGGGTAGTTGGGACAAAGTAATGGGGTATGGAGGGCGAGGGGGACGTTGAGGCAGGGCAGGGAGCAAGAGGAAGGGCCGGTGATGTTTTTTTCAGAGCATCGCCGTGACTTAATGGGATCGATGCTGGAGATTTCTGGGAATGTGCCTATTTCTAGCACCGGGTAACCTCCAGGAGGAGGAACAGAAAGCTTCAGGCTGGAGTTCCAGTAGCTCCACCAAGAGAGGAAGTTGTGTGTGCTTTCCCGGCAGCCTCTCAGCATCTCGGTCTCCGGGCAGGTCCCCTGGGTCACTGCCACCGTTAGCAGGGCAGTTCAAAGCAACGGGAGCAGTCTTTAAATTGTAGAAACCATTTGGAGATTTTGCAAAGTCAGTCACATAATCCAGTCACGAGGGCTTTTAGATCAGAGGGCTGGAGTCGTGTAGGGATAAGAGGGTCTCGTTTTTATTTCTCCTCTTTTATTAAAATTGACTTAGGGCTGCAACGTCAGAAACTTGAATCATGAGGGTTAGTGCTGAAAGGGATGTTTTGATCTTCTTGTAATTGTTCAAGATGAGAAAACGGATGGGTAGAGGAGTCATGAAACTTGCCTAAGACGACATCACCCCCGGCTGGCTCCGTTAGAACTCACGTGACCACCAGCTGAGCCGTGCGCGCCCCGACTTTAACGCGGTGGCCGGGCGTGCTGCGGCCGACTTGCTTGGAGAACAGTGGCGCATTTCATTACGCCGGGGAATGGGGTGCTGGGGTGACATGCCTTCTAAGTGGCCTCCTTCTGGAACATTGCACAAGGGACACCCATTCAGCCCTAACACGCAGTTCAGAAAGGGGAGCCAGCCAAGGACTTCTCACGTACCCCCAAGTCAACACCTCTCCGCATGGGCTCCTCCCTGACCCGGCGGGGCTCAGGGTGTCTCTCCTTCCGCCTCCGCAGCCGCTTGGTTTCAGCGTGGTAAGGCCTGTGCTTTGACTTCTGTGGGAAGCAGGGGATTCCTCACGCCTGTGGGCAGTCATCAGAGGAATCCCCTTGACTAGCTACTCGTGTGCCAGGGAGTGGGAGGGAGGGACTCCACACCCCAGGGCATGAACACAAATTCCTCCCCACGCCTCCCTCTGTTCAGGACATGTCGCCAAAAAGCGTCTAATAAGAAGAGCTGTTGTTCTTGGCAGGGGCCAGAGGCACTGTTTTATTTCCATTTCGTTGTTTGGTAGGTGATAAAAGTGTGTGTGGTACGAAATTTAGAAAATAAAGAAAAGTAGGCCGGGAAAAGTGAGAGTCCCTCCCAATCTTGATTTTAGGCTTTCGATTCCTCTCTCCAGAGGTGACATTTGCAACTAGTGTTTGTGTATCCTGTCAGAGCCAATGCCCATGCAAGCATCATTTTTATTTTCCAATATGTAGTAATATACTTCACACACAATTCTGCCTTTTGCTTTTTTTGGCTTTATATATTTTGGAGTTTGCTCTTTATTGAGCTTGTTGGTTCATTTCACCACCAAATAACTGCAACGTTTTATTCTCTAGGCTTCCTCTCTTCTTTCTTGCTGTTGAATACTCTCTGGGTTCAAGTTAGGTCTTTTCAAGCTGGTAAAGAGAAGGGAAAAACCCAACGTTAAAAAAAGCTACACTCACACGCACTGAACTCTGAAGGGTTAGACCAGTTTTTATTGCCTGCGAGCCCTAAAAATAAAACACTGCGACTCCTGCGTTATAGCCAGGAAGCATCCAGAACTCACTCCCAGTGGGCTCTGGGAGTCTGTGGCCATGGTGGACTGATAGGTCCCAGCCTTCTCCACGAGAGGATGGCCCTGTGAGACTGAACCGGTTTCTATTTTTTTAAAAAAGATTTTAGGTATTTATATTTAGAGAAAGGGGAAGGGGGGAGAAAGAGAGGGCAAGAAACATCAATGTGTAGTTGCTACTACAACCACACATGTAGTAAAGCTACTACACTTCCGTGTCAACGAATATGACATTAATTATTTATTCACTATTTTTCTAAAAATATGTTCTTTTCCCTCCTTCAGGTGCCGCCTCAGCATCCTCCAATTCAAAGTATCAGAGCACAGTTTACCCGTAAGTATTGTTGGAAGTTCAATTTTTTTGAAGAATCTCCTCTCCAGTCTCTTCACTTTCTCCACAACACAAGGCCTTGCCCTTTCTCAGGGAGCATTAAGTCCTGGATTTGATGGACTTTGTATGTTGTTTTTGTGGGGGACAAGGAAGGTGTATAAAGGAAAAAAAGGGGAGTCATTAGTTAACCAGATCTGCGCTTGCCACTGTCTTAATTCCTGTAGATGCCTCACTAATCCTTCCAGGGACCATCTGGGGAAGAATTATTCTCATTTTGTAGGTAAGCAAACTAAGGCTTTACTTCTTACAAGCCCGCCTGACTGTGAGACACACCATTTCTAGGACAGGACAAGATGTTCACCTTGATGAGAGGTGGGAGAGGCCCAGCTGTCATTAACTACCAGGAGAGCATGGCTTGGATCCATGATTAACACCAGGAGGCCCACCAGGAGTTTCTTCAAGGCTATTCATTGGTTTCTAAGTTCCCCTGAGCCGGAGGGAAGTATATCTTGCCTTCCATGAGTGGTCTTCATTTTCAGTTCCAAGCATGCGCCCTGGAACAAAGCAAGAATTACTGAGTTGCGTTCAGCAGTAGGGACATGGGCCAGAGTGGGAACTCTGAGATGTGGCTGCTCAGCCATATTGGGACTGATGACAAAGAAAAGAAATCTAGGCTTTTTGGCTTACAATTGGAATGGCGCCACACAAGGGTACCAAAGCCATTGCTCTGAGTCTTCCTCGTCCTCCCCCTCCTTTTCCCTCTCCTGTGGAAGCAACTCTTCCCAAAGCACTTTCCAGGAAAAACTAGCTACACAAAGGCAGGAAGGAAAGGCAGGTCTGTGTTCCTGAGTGCTCTTACCTTCATGCTGAGCAGAGCCGGAGCTCACCAACATTCTGGGCACTGCAGCATCATTAAGTCTTAGTGGCTGCTGGCAAAGGCCACTAAATGCTGTTCAGAAGTCCAGTGCCCAGGTGTGTGAAGAATGTGCATTTCATGGTCAGATGGAGAGAGAATAGGGAAGAGCTCAAAGCAATGGCTTTGAATGAAGATGGTGCCCAGGACTTGACAAGCAGCCCTTCCGCCCCCCACTTTGTGCTCAGAGCCATTGAGCAAGAAAGGAAACCCTGACGCTGCCAGTGCCTCCTGGTTTTGAAAATCAGGGAAACCTGCAAGTCCATTTCCTGCCATAGGTCGGTGGCGACAGCCGCCAGTTGCTTTCACCTCCCGGCTCTTAAACCCCAGCCTCACGGGAAACTCTTCTGGGTATGAGCACTAGCTCCACGTCCTCTTCTATTCCACAGATAGAGCACGATGCTTGCTTCCTCTCCTCCTTCTCAGTACCTCTTGCTATTCCTGTCTCTTCATGGGTTTCTAGACATGTTGGAAGGTTGTTGTTTAAAGCTGTGCTAAGGAATCACTGTTTTTTTTTTCTTCTTTTTGTCCTACCATCCTTAGAGTGTGATAGTGGCAAAGCTTGCCTGCTCATGCCCCCAAGCAAGGAGGAGACCATGAAGGTGCAAGACAACTCAATCCCCATCAACTGTGACGGGTTTTATCTCATCTCCCTGAAGGGCTACTTCTCCGAGGAGATCAACCTCCACCTTTATTACCGGAAGAACCTGCAACCGCTCTACTCCCTGAGCAAGGTCCAGATCGTCAACTCCGTCACTGTGGCCTTTCTGGGTTTCAAGGACAAAGTCTACTTGAACGTAACCGCTCATAATACCTCGTGTCAAGACATCCAGGTGAATGGTGGGGAGTTAATTCTCATTCATCAAAATCCTGATGAATTCTGTGCCGAATGAGGACCTGATGCCCGCACATAGGCCAGCGCCAAGCACAAATGCCACACCGGGGTTGGGCAGGACACCGATTCTTCCTTGGGAGTGGAGGAGTCCTCCCAGCTCAGCCCCGTCTATGGCCGCACAGGATGTGACCAGAAAAAGATTCCCCTACCCCTACTCAGGGATATTTAAGACTTATTTTATGTATCATTTACCTTTATTTATCCTAATATCTTCAAAATGACTTAGTCTTCATCCCTCACAGGTGCCCCAAGCCTCTCAGGCACCTCTGTGGGATGAGAAAATAGGTGCCTCCTCCTGAAGACTCATTGTTTTCATTGGGCAGGAAACGGTTATAATAAACTTGTTTTACTGACAAAGACACTGGATTACCACTTGCTGGACCCTTAACACCTGGTATTGTCAAAATGTGGAGGACCTGGGAGGGGGCGATAAATCTGCCAAAGGGGGTGTGGACCTACTCCTGAGAGCCAGCGCTGCTTCTCCAACATGGAACTGGTTGCAGTTTGTGTGTTGCCTAAGTACTGCTTGTTTGGTGAAGTTCAGACGGAAAATCAACTTGTGAACAACTCTCTGGACTTGGTGGAGATAGGCAGCCAAGGATGGCTCTGTGCTCTGGGCTTGCTCTCTTTACCACTTTCCCAGCCTCCAGGTGTTCTAAATAGAAGTTCTCCCTCAAAAACCCATCCTGGGGAAGGGATGTTGTGAAAAATCCAACTGGCCATTTCAGGAAAACCAAGAAAAAGCTTTCACTAAATTGGGCAAGTGAAAGAGTTACCTTGAGCTCACAGGAGATCGGTGAACCTGGAGCTCTCAGGGGAAAAGTCAGTGAGACTTGCCGCGGTCTGGGGAGGAAAGCACACTCTTTGTCACAGTTAGGCAGAGGGACATGCATGTATTCTCCTGTTCATGCTGACGGACACTTGGCCCCGTGCCTTGTACACACATGCACTGCACAGCTAGTTTCACAGATGAAACAATTCCATTATCACACGCAACTTCATGTCAAAGACACTGAGCACCACCTGGATCTTACGAAAAACAGTGATCTCTGTGGAGAAACACCCTAATATCACAGTGACGACTGAGACTAGAGGGACTCATCCTCAGCCAACTCCTCATGTTCAGTGGACATATTCCTCTTGATGTATAAGGCTCATGGCATGGTCAACAAGTGGGATTTTTCATAAGTCAAATTTCAAGATATTGTGTAGGTTCTCAAATTGTGGCTAAAATTTTTTTTTAACAGGTGCCAGTGTTTCCCTGCCATTTTAAATACAGCACACAAAATACCACAGGCTTTCTCTGGATGATTCTGTATCCTCCCAGTAACTGCACTGTGCTGCAAGGCAGTGACATCTCCAGACTCTTTTGAAAAATGGCAGGCGTTCTGCCCCTGCACTAGACTGTCTCAGTCACATTTGATTCTTTTTTGTCTGTGTAACAGACAAAAGTTGCTTTCTCTCTCCTCTTACAGTATCTATCTCCAATTGTATTCCTGCCCTTCTATCTTAATCTGTTGTGGAGACATAAATAAGTGCTAAGTGAAAAAAAAAGTAAGATAAATTGTGCATAAAGGTAAGAGCGATCTAGGTCTAGATGGTGGCCAAGGCCCCGCCCAATTGTAATCATAACCACTGGTAGACTTTTAGGGAGGGGCTACTGTGGACTGGATATTGGGCTAAATGCTTTACACGAATTATTCTGAGCAAGATATTCTATAAACCTGCCTTAACTACTCAGAGGATTTGTGTGTGTGTGTGTGTGTGTGTGTGTGTGTGCGCGCGCGCGCATATGAGCTTGTTGACTGTGGTCTGCAAAGTTGATATTAGTGAGTGATATCTAATAAGTAAATGTTTATGACTATAGATGATATTTAAGAAAGTGTTTGTTTACTTTTTTAAGTTTGGGATTTCTGATTGTATTTCACCTGGACATGCACATTCCAGGCCTAAGCATGATTGTTTTGTGGGTTGCTTGTCGTTGGTGTCATGGCCTCTCCTTGCAGGTACACCTGTGGGCACACCTGGCCTGCTTTTTCCTCGCTGGCCTCCTCCAGACACACAGGGATATTTCTACCATGGAGCAACCTCACTCCCCCACCTCCCAGCCATCAAAACATGCATGTGCCCTTTGAGTCATTCCTTCAAAGGGATAATTAACACTTCTCTGGACACAACAGAGTTCTGTGGAAACAGAACTGAATTGAGAAGCCAAGAAATTGGAATTCTAGTTTGACTCAGTCACTAACTAGCCAAATGACTTTGGACAAACAATTTCCCAGTTTCCAATCCTGCTTTCTGCCCTTGTTAAATGATCATGTTAGAATCTTCAGGCACTTAGCACTGTGAAAGTACATGCTAAGTGTCTCTGTACTGGTTGCTATGAGTCAACATATGTAATCTCTTTTACTGTGTGGATTTTTTTTCCCCTTGGACAAGCTAATAGTCTTCCCTCAGCCTTCTTGGTGAGTCCTTTAAGAGCAGTTGCCATTGTTACTTAGTGACTTCCTACCTAGGGAATGATGTAAGAGATCCAATCTTGATATAAGTCATAATTTGTTCTTAAGCATACTGGGCAGGTCCCCCTTTTTAAGCTCTGATTTTGTATTTAGTGCTTCCCTGACTCTAAGAGAGTATTAATATTGATATTAATAATATAGCTAATAATAATATTCATATTTACATGGAAACAAATAAAAGGTCTCAGAATTCGCTACTGGTTAGAGTGTTGGAGTTTTTATTTATTCTTTTCTCCCATCCCTTGTTATGCTAGGCTGGTCCCCTGATGAGGGGAGCCTGGGGCAAATGTTCTGGTTGTCCATCTGCCTCTCATTTCAGCTCTCAGGACTATGTCCAATGAGTGGTTAAGCTGCCAAATTCCAACTTTGCTTTGGAAAAGACATTTGTTCACTGGAAGTCCTCAGGGACCCTCTACGTGGTCCAGGATACTGATCCAAATGGAATTCTACATCCCACTGTTTTTTTCCTGCAGGACTTCCGCCTCATTTTTTAACCCCGGAATGATTTCTTTGGGTATTATGTCCCCTCTCCACAGAAGAAATTACATCTGCAGTCTCAAGAAGAGGTTGCAGCTCCTGATGGGTTTGTGTGCCCAGTTGGCCACCATGACCCTTATGCCACCTGTGATGGTGTTGATGCCTCCCTCCTCCAGGAGGTGCTCCTAAGCCTGTTTCTTTGACCTCAGCCACTTCTGGTCCTCTTTTCCCTGTCTTTGCCAGTCTCTTTCACCCCTCCCTCTTTCTCTCCCCACACCTTTAATGCTGTGTTCTTCAGGGTTCCACCCTCAGCCCTCCCTTTCTCTACTGTCTGGTGGCCAGCAAGCCATGATCTGACCTCTGTGTCTGTCATTTTGTTTGTTAAGTTGAGTAGAGTTGCCAACACTTAAACATTGGGAAATTTCTGGCTCCTTTGGACAAAAAACAAAACAAAACAGGAGATCTAGCAATGCTGGGCTGGATTTTGGGATGGCAGCAATCAACTCAAGCCAAGAGTAGCAGCCTCCCTCTTTGGAGACACTGCACTCTCCCCTTCCCCAGAGGTACCCCATTCATGTAATGTGCCATATGCTTAGACTGGCTCATTTCACTCATTTGCTACATTTGAATTCTGGGCATTTGAGTTGTGACCTTTGCTCTACACACTTGCCATTTCATGGACTTTCTTATACCTTTGACCACTGCTCATATACCAGCGATACCCAAAACCACTCTCCAGTACAGATGTTCTCCACTCTGGGGTTACACTTATTGCAATCACCTGTGTTATTAGCAATAAAATGACACTTATTGACTACTTATCACATGCCAGTCATCATTGTAGCCATTTTATATGCATTGTTTAATAGTATCTTCCTAAAAACTCTTTGAGGTGGGTATTATTATTCCTATTTTGCATACAAACACCTGAGACTCTTAGAGAGAAAATAATTTGCCCAAAGGAGTGCAGCTAACAAGTGGTGGAGGCCAGGTTCAAGACCAGGGATAGGTGACATCCAAGACCATGCTCTTACCCGTGGGTACCCTGTCTCTGGGAATCTGCAGATAGATGCAGGGGCACTCTGCACAGGATGCTCACACAGGCTATCTTCCCCACTGAGCCCATCTTCCCTGGCTCATGATGTTAGAGGCATCATGATCATTCCAGAAGTCACAGTGTCACCCTGCTCTCTCCCTCTCTCTGTCCCCACCCATGTGCCTGTGGACTCTGCCTTCTTCTCATTAACTCTTTTTTTTTAGACATTGTGGTACCATCCCACCAAGCCTGCATGCCTCAGTGAGTCCTGGTTGGATTAAGAAGATAATAGGCCCTAGGTAAAGGAACGAGTGAAAGGGTCAAACAAAATGGAACAGGGTGCCACCAAGGAAAGACCATGGTGTGTGAAGCCTAGTTTTAAATCCTGACTATGTCATTCATGAGCTGGGTGACCCTGGCAAATTTTTCATTTCCTTTTTTTTTTTTAAGCCACTCTAAATCTTACTTTCCTTATCTGTAAAATGAGGACATCAATCTATTCTTTTCTATTCTTTCCGGGTTACTGCAAACATAAGAGTGCCTAATATATTGCCTGAAACATAGTTGGCCTTAATACCTAACAATTGTTTACAAAGGTCCCTTACTCCACAAGGCAGAAGATATGTGCCAAATGAATAACAGAATTATGGGGATTTAGGGATGGAGAGAACACTGAATCCTAATGGAAGAGCTTGGTGGGACCAAGACTGCAGAAGGAGAGGAAGGACAACATGGCAGAGGAAGAACAAGTATATGTAAAAGCTTATTGGTAGGCATCCTCAAGGTGTTTTCTGCAGACGAAGAGCTATTACTTGGTTATGGCACTCAGTCTCTTCCCTCGACTTGAGCACATTCTATTTCTTAAGACAGAAATTTGTGTATAGCCATGGTTAAAGATAAGGATTAACAGTCAGTTTGAGGATAAAATATTGGAGGCATTAGAGACACAGCTAAGAATTTTGGATC